TAAGATGAAGGAAGCAGCACAGCGCTATCAGTATGCTTTGAGGAAGTTTCCAAGGGAAGGCTTTGGAGAAGAAATGAAAGCGTTCAATGAGCTGAGAGTTTCATTGTACTTAAATTTATCACGATGTCGACGAAAAACAAATGTAAGCTCTTGCTTTTAATCTGTTGTACTGGGAATCCTAGACCTCTGTTCTATTCCATTATCGACAGCTTGTGTCACATGTTGATGCTACTGTGTGCCTGTGGTTGGTTTTTGATTATCCTGATGTGCTGAAAGGGCAGAAAAGGGGGAGGGCATGCAGAGTCTTTCAAAGCATTATCGTCAAGGGAAAGATTTGGACATGGCCAAAATATTAGGATTTCTCCTTTACTAAACATATGTTGTCCAAGCACTGTACATGTATTTTGCTATTTTAGAATTCTTTTCACTGTATCCTGATCTGGGGCTTTGTTGCGTCAACAGATGGGGACTGTTCCTAAGATGAATGCATGTTGCCATGTGGGAACTATCACAGCTATTCTTATGTAATCAGTTATTTTGGAATAACAAACTGCTGGATGTTTTTAGTACTTTTAAAAGACTAAATGGAAAATGCTGCCACGGCCACCACCCTTTGATATCAAACAGTATAACCTACTACTACAGCTTTATTCTGTGTGCTGGCTGTTTCTTTTCTGCCTTCATCAGTGTATCAGATGGCTGGTAAGAACTTGAATGACCATCAGAGCAAAAACTTTTAATTTTCTAAATACACTTTACACTAGGCCTTCTTTCGAAACATTAACTTCTCATTTCCAATGTCATTTAAATTGTTCTTGGCATCTGTTTCAATGTGAAGAACATATAAACACGGGTGTCCAGGAGTCTACATAGGCAGTTCTGCCTGGACTAGTACAACATATTTTCCTTGTGTTTTTTTTTGTTTTGTTTTGTTTTGTTTTTTTCTCTATTCATAGTTTTTTAACTAGTCATTTTTAAAAATACATTTTTAGAGCCTTTTTATCTGAGGTGCTCACTTATCCTGTTAAACATGCAGTCTCTTCTAGCATTTTAACATCTGTGGGTTGAAAATAACTGTATTTTGTCTATATTAACACTGCTTTTTAGCTACCTTGGAGTCAGTTTCACTTGGACATAAGAGAAGAGGTTACCAAGATGAGGTCTGGTTTTGGTCTTTATGAAAATGTCTGTTCTTCTTAACCAATAAACGTGACTTTCTATACTGGATCTGCACTTTTGTAACAGTACCATGAATGAAGAGCATGCAGCTTTCTTTTATTGCCAATGTATAAGGAGTACATTTGTTTAAATTCTTAGGACTTTGGTATGGCTGAAGAGTTTGCTACCAAAGCACTGGACTTGAAACCCAAGTCTTATGAAGCTTATTATGCTAGAGCAAGAGCCAAGAGGAACAGCCGGTAATGTTTGATTCTGTTCATCTATCCACCCAGATATTTTTTTTTAACATTGTAAGACTTTCAATAGCTGTGTTTTCCACTAGTTCTGGTTGGAATTTACAAAAAGTTACTTTCTTTGTGCATTTTCCATCTGTATCAACTAAAACTGACCAAGCCCAAAAAGCAATATTGAATACTCATTTAGGTAATTATTAGACAGTCCAGAAAGTAGAAGGTAACAAATTGATAATGATGTGAGCTATATAAAATGTAAGAGTGGTTAGAACTGCTCCTCCACATTACTCAGCAGAATGTTGTCAATAGTCTACCACCAAACTCCAGCACTGCATTATTTATCACCAAAAATAACCAGGCGTTCTTATAGGATAGAATTTGTTGAATCATTAGCAGTTCAAGATAAAAACAAACAAACAAACAAAAAAAAACAACAGGAGAGAGGAGAAACCACCTTTTTAAATTGCAAGAATACCAAAGTCAAAAAAAATGGCAAAGCCTAGGGAGAGGTGTGCCTGTTTGATTCACTTTTCTGAAGACTGTTGGGATTCAAGGGGAAAGGTTTAGGTCTGGATCTGTGCCTTTAGAATCTCTTGGGTTGGATGACATCCAATCTTTATCTTGTCACCATATCTAGCATGAGATGACAAATCAGAACATCACTTTGTAAGTGGTAGAGGTGGATAAGTAGCAGTTAATGCTGAGGCTCAAATTCATCCCAGGCTTTTACTAACAAATCTTGTGTTGTTTTTTTTTTTGTTTGTTTGTTTGTTTTTTGTTGTTGTTGTTGTTTTTTATTTCTTTACTGTAGAAAGCTACTTGCTGCTCTTGCTGATTTACGTGAAGCCACAAAACTGTGTCCTAGCAATCAAGAAATAAAACGTCTCCTGGCTCGAGTAGAAGAGGAATGCAAGCAGTTCCAGAGAACACAGCAACAGAAGCACCATTCTCCACAGTCAGTACAGCAAACTAACAACTCTGATAATGAGGGGGAGGAGCTTATACAAAGTGCAAATAACTTCGGTCCTCAAGAAAGGGAGGAAGAGCTGCCACACCCTGATGAATCTCTTTCATCTTCACAAAGGCTGCAACGTTCCTTAGCTACTGCGTCATACACCAGAATCCTTCAAGACAGTGTTCAGCAGAAAGCTAGACCTGTGTCCCCTCAAGGCAGAACAGGCAATAAATATTTGAGAGAACCAGGCTTGATCGTGCAGCCAACAAAACAAGCACAGATTGTAAAAACTAATCAGCACCTGAGCTCCATCCAGCCTGGATCAAAAATGGGAAGTAGTCAATGTAGTACAAAGACAGCACAATCAAATTTTCATCATCTCTCCCAAAGTCCTTTGCCAGTCCATCACTCTAAAATTCAGCATTTGGATGGAACAAACACATCATCTGGAAGTATTTCCACAGGTCCTAGTTCTGAGCTGTACAATGAGAAGCTTATGTCCAGCCAGTGTTCCCATTCACAGCATAATGAGAATTTCTCTTCTCATTCTTTTGCAAGTAAATCTAAAACCACTGACATGTCAACAGCCCCTACTATGACTTCCAGTGAAGCAAGACTGCAGCAAAGTCCTGTAACCAGTGGTGTCTCTTCTTGTTCTCCATCTGGCAGTATGCTTCTTGCCAGCTCAACCAGCAGCTTAACTTCAGCTAGCAGTTTTTCAGATAGTATTAAGGGGATAGGGCCAGATGTTCGAATCAAGGAGAATAAAGTTAATCAAGTTCAGGGTACTGCTGCTGAATACAGACCTCGCAATACTCCATTTATGGGCATTATGGATAAGACTGCAAGGTTTCAGCAGCAGAATAATCAATCAAGTCGCCCATGGCACTCTCAAGCATCAGATGGATTACCAACAAATGTTGCATCTGGGAGCATTCAGTCCTCAAATTTTGACCAGTTCTCAGTCAAACACTATCAAACTAAAACTTCTGCTGTTATTGCCCCAGGCGACAGCAACCAGAACGGTATGCAAGCTAAAGAACAGGAGGAGGTTAAGTGCCAAACATCTGCCTGCTGTCAAGACAACAGACCATCTAGGCAAGTTTTGCATTTATACCCAGATGCTCTAGCACACCAACACTCTCACATCAATAAGGAAGGCCATCTAAGTCATGTCACTTCTACAAAACCAAAGCGATCATTCATTGAATCAAACGTGTAAATATTATGTTGTATATTATGTAGTCATAAAACTTTGCTTATAACATCATAGGGTATTATGTCAATACAAAATAGCAATTGGCTGACCATTTTCAAGTTTGAGTACATATCCAAGTGGGCCAGTATATCATGGGTACAACCACTTTAAGCTGTTCATACCATCACAGAACAGTCATAGTAACTGGAATAGCAAATTCTGTAGAAAGCATCACCTAGGATCATCAGTCAGCCAAACTAGGACCTCAAGCAAAGAAACTATTTCCATTACACTTCACCCTGAATATACTTTACTTTTACATAGGGCTTTAATCTTGGCTTTTAGTTGTATTACATCTCATCACTTACATCATAATTGTGCCTCTATAATGCTTAAGTGCTTCTCAGAATGGTGTTAAGAAAATACCTGCTGCGTACCATTCAGATCTGTATATGTATGGGTTTTTTAAATCAAAGATAGTATTTTATCACTTTTCTAGTGGGCTCTAATTCGGGTTGCATGATGTACATTTAGGAAGCATAAATAATTTGTGTATGAGTAAGCTTAAAGCAGCCATGTTTTGACATGTAAATATAGCTATTTTTAGTAACAAGAAGCAATCAAGTAAACTAAACAGTGACATCTGCATGTGTATTGAGAGGCTTTGACCATATTGGTTATTGCACTGAGTAACGCAATATTATGGCATGTTAACAATAACCGCACTTTATATAGTTTACTTAATCACCTCTGGGTGCTATTTTACAGCAAAATTATATATTGTTTGTTTAGTCAGGTAAAGAGGTACAACAATGACATGTTTTAGTAAGTGTTGTGAACTCACTCAAGAAATGGATGGAATGAAGATGAAAGTTGAAGGAAAAGTGTATGTGCAGTTGCTCTTTTGGATGAAGTTGTGAAGATTTTTTCAGAGGAAATAAAGTTTTATATTGGCACAGTTCTGAAAATATACAGCTGCAGTGACATTCCTATGATTGTACTTTGGTTGGAGTGGTCAACTTGAGGTTGTCACGTTCAGGTCTTGTTTGTGTACAGTGTTGTATGTACATTGTAAACACCCGTATGCATTTTTACAAATTATTTTCTAAGTTCACATTATTATGCTTTAGTTTATTTATTGCTCACTGTTTCTTTGGCATTTTGTACAAGTCTTATATTATTCTTGTCCTGTAGTTCTATTTTTGCACAGCTACTGTATTTTTTCCATACAAAATAAAAGTTACTAATATAGCTGTGTCACTGACACTTACAGGAAGATCTCTCTCCCTGCCTTTCCAAATGCATGTTCAGTAATAGGGAACAGAGATGACACTTTATTTTTTATTAGAAAAAGAAATACCGATTACATACTTTGATATTTCTTAACTTCTGGAAAAGACTAACTTTGCAAAATGAAGACTCAAAACCTCATAAATGTAGTGAAAATTTTAAGAAAACTTTATTTGAAAAACTGTGAATCTGAATGTTTGATTTCTTAAACAGAAATACTACAAAGTGAAATTATCAGTAACTTTAAAAAAAAATCGGTAATTTTTTAGCAGCTTCCACCAGTAAAGACATTCTTTTCTTAGCATAAAGATTGAAATGACATCTGGAGTAAAACAGAATTAAACTTCATTTCCCCTTGTTTCTGACACAATTATTTCTGTTAGCTACATACAATTTCGTTTTGTTTTAATAAACAACTTCAAAACTTAAGTGGTTTCACCATACTTTTGCTGAGTCTCCAGCCAGCGACTGATAGCCATTTTCAGTGTCCTATTTGGCGTAAGCATAAGAGAGTGAAGAGGAAGATTTGTCATGGGACTAGATCGTCTTTTATTACTGATCCAATTTTCCATTGCCTCCTTTTCATAGGAATAGCCATCTGCAAAGAATCGATCATCAAAAGCTTATATTACAGGTGCTTGGGTGCTGTGTTACCATACATATTTTACATATTTAAGTAAGTGATGGAAGTGAGCCAGGATGTCCAAACAGGAAAACTGAGTTGTAGAACAATCATTTGGTTAAGCTTATTAAAGTAACACTTTTTATACAGCCGTACCAAGTTACTTGCAGGAAGTATAGGGTAGGGATGGCACAGGACGCATGAAATACAGGATAGCTCTCTTTTAGTTAGCGGTACCTGTATACTTATGTTTTGCTACTGTGGTAATTTCAGTTGGCACGGAGCTTTGTCTCACATCTACTATCAGCAGAGGCATGCCAGCAAGGTATTTGTACTAGGTCTCTATAGAGTTGATATTTATTTACTTATTTTACTATAGGCAGTCAGCTTTAAATATTACCTATTAAATCAACTTTTAAAATCCTAGCCGAAAACAACATGATTCTGTAAGTAATTCCAGAATAATAACCATTATTTTGTAGTGATAAGTTATATATACCTGTGAGGTTTTGATAACTGAAGAAAGCAAGACTTCCCAGTTCAATTATTCCCATCACGAATTACACCTTAAAATATGCTTTAGAAGTGCTTAACAAAGGTAATCACAAGGCTGTCAAAGGAATCATCAGAGCTCTTAGCCAAGTCCCCTGTACCTGTAGCCTTTCATGTATAAAAAGCAGTGAAACAGTGACATTACTTAAAATAATAATTAAAAACAAATAAATAAGCTGTGCTTTACCAAATTGCATAAATGGCACAATGGTATTAAAATTACTGCACTCCTTTGGATAATAAAACTGTTGGATTTAATCACAATTTAAATATTTCCAATTAGCTGGCTCTAAAGCTATTGAGTAACTTTATTACAAATGCTTTTCATTTAAGGAACCCTTTCAAGACGAAAACAACAAAGCTGAAAGTGAATAGAAACAATTCAGTCTGAAATTGAAATCAGTTTCTGTCTATGCTTCTGCATAGCACCAAAATACATTCTGAAAGTATTAGAATTTATTTTCAGCTTACGTGATAGGTAATGGTAAATGAAAGCTCAGTACTATCTAATAACTAACCCAACCAAGGACTGCTGCTGCTGTGCAATGCTCAAGCGGTGAACACCAAGCATTAGCCCTCCACCAGACCTGAGCCCCACAGCCCTGAGCTGGGTCCCCACTTAGCCCTGGGCACCTGTCTGGCTTCAGGCCTTCAGCTTCTTCCTGTCAGTACCTAAACAAGCCCTAACTTACAGCTACGTGCTTACTCCCTTACAGAGTGGGGAGCTTACTCCCAGACACTAGGCTCCACCACGGTCTTTCCTTCCTTGTTACTGAATATGAACCACTTACCATGGAAAAATCTTATTTAGGCTGGTCAATTTGGTAAAGCACTATGCAGGTTGGAATTCTGCCTTTTATTTTCCTTTAAATTTTACATCGAGCAGAAGCATAAAAGAAGTGTTACTTAACTCTTAGCTTATTGAACTAAATAAAACTCCTAACTCACTGCATTACTTTCTAATCTCAGAAATGGCTAAATTCCTCTAATTAATTTGAATCTGCAAATGTGCCCACATCTCTAAAGTCAGCTGTACTAGAAAAACTTCAGTTCGACAATGTAGGACCATGAAGCAGCTAGTGCATACAGACATTTCTAACACCAAATCCTATACTTTCCATCACCTGCCATCTTGCCACAAAGTGTCGTTGTTCCTGCTGCAAACTGGAACACTTCTGGAATTCCCCATTTTTTGACTGCCATAAAACAGCAGTGTGAGGAACCCCCAGTATATGCCTGCTCTGTGTTCTAAAATGCACAGGAATACCACTTTTCAGGACAGCAGTGTAATACACAAATACTGAACAGCAGCAAGGTAATATTTATTAGTAACGTATTATAATGGATTACATACACTGTGAACATTTTATTTTGAAAGGGCGGGGATTTCTCTTAAAAATGCCTATTTGATTTTGTAATAAACCTGTGAATAGTCACTGGCAATGTTTTTCAGCTAAACTATCCTACTCTAAAATGATATAGCCTTATTTCAAAATGACAGAAGACTTTCCTCCTACTGCTACTGCTTTGAGGCTCAAGTCCTAAGTAAGTGCAATGCTTCTCACTCTAGTAATCAGCAAACATTCTCGTGTTCTGAATGATTAGACTCTGACAAGTCTGGCCTGGTATCTCAAAGCTATGAAGTTACTGTTTACAGATCATCAAAAATGTAATGATCTTTTGATGATACTCCTCTCCTTCACCCCAAGATTAGAACTACAAAACATTAGCTTTCCATAACTACATCACATGCTGCTTCTTGCAACTCTCACTCCAGAATCTTGTCACACCTAAATGAACCTCATTCTGTACAAACTTCTAAGTGCTATATACATGGTGTGCTAAGTTAGTAATGAGACAATTTGTTGTTGTTGTTGTTTTTCCCCCCCATATGCAAAACTGTGCATTTACCAAGATGACTCTGTAATTTGGCTTTTAACTACAAACTTGCAGAGGCACAAAAGGAAAGGACCATTAAAAAAAATGTATACTGCTTCATCAGTAAAGTTGATACTACGGGAACTGCACAACAAATTTTTTTCCTCTGTATTAGCGATGCAATTTTACCATTTACAACAGTCCTATTTTTGTTGCAATAGGTACTTAGACCAGTTTATCTTTCTACAACTGATCAGATAGGCCTGTTTTTTTGTGTTCCCACATCCCTATTTATTTTGTTCAATATTTGTCAAAGACATACCTGCTGCAATGACAGGTTCCTTCATAAGCTCCCGAGTTATAGGACATAAGAACTCATCAGGGATAGCAACAGAAACAGAGACCATTTTCATCCTCAGTTCTTCAATTTTCTGAAGGATTTTACTGCGCAGGCCTAGAGACTCTGAAAAGTTGTATGTACATGAAGTGAAAACACTGCAATGTCAGGCAAAGAGGTCAGGTCTTGCACTTGGTGGCTGTTGTGCCACAGGAGACACAGCTCCACCCCACCCCCCCATATGGGAAAGTCTGCAGACACCCAGGCACCCTACAACCAGCTTAACAGCAGCCTGCTGCTGGCCTGCAACAATTCTGTGGAGCAATGAAAACAAATGGTAGAACAAATGCAAATGCAACACTGCTGCAAAGCCACAGTTACCTGGCAGAACAGTGCTGGTGCATAGTAGGATCACATATTCACCTTATATTATAAGTGATAGCCATGAGTGCTGATTTATGAAATGAAAGCATGCAGCACCAAGAATAAACCCAAATATCAGCTGTAGGTGTTCTGTTCTTTATTTTCATAAACAGTTTAATTGTGTGTCTCCGAAATTACCCTTCTGACAACTCCTTTGTTCCCAGATACTCTGTCAGTCTCCTAACTAAGCTTATTTCTGCTGCATGACAAGTATCGTACCCATTCACTGCTAAACTGTCTTTCAACCACTGTACCATGCCAGAATGAGTGTTTACTTTCCAAAGGTACCAGATAAAAAAACATCAACAAAACACCTTGCCAGAAGAGCCCTGAAAAAGATTTGTAAAAAAATAAAAATAAAAAATCTTAAAATAACTTTTAATGTTACTTTTAGAAAAAAATCCTTTACAATATCAACACAGCTTTAAAAGCTTAAAACATTTAAACTGATATAAATATTGTTTTAAATTTAACACAAGTCATATAATGGAAAGATCCAAAATAAAAGTAGCCAGCACAGTGTAAAGAATGAATTGGAAGCCACAAATGACAGTCATCTCTCTGAATGTGCTGCACATCTATCTGATGTGCTACAAAACAACACTATTGGTAAAATGACTATGTTTGCAGGGATTAATTACAAATAATTACAAGATTAAAATAATTACAGATTAAAAAAATGAGTACAATTAACATTACAGGAACTGATTGCATTTTTCCTGAGTTCACAAGACTGGTGTGCTCTTGCAGTCAAGCTAAATGTAAGGACATACAATTTCAGAACAACTATGATCTATAGGATTTTCTTCAGCCTTCAGCTTAGCTTTTGTCATAAAAAGTCATTTACATCACTCCATTTCAATACCCTAAACCTGCTGTACAACATTGTTGCCCTATGTCTTACAAAAGGACAACTGAAAAATGCCTGAGCTTGTTTGTTGAGATTTTTTTTTTAATTACATTGCAGCTTTTTCCATCTCTCTCTAATCTAAAAATACAACTAAAAGCACAATTACAGTTGTGCTGTGCTGCCTTGTTTTCTTTCAGACTGGTTAGTTCAAAGGCACTCATTTGTGAATGAGCAGACAGAACAAAGACACATCAGTGTCTCTAGTCAGCATCATCTTATTAGCCTCAGCTGGTGATTGGTGCCACAGAATTTTAAGCTACTCCAATGTTAAAGAACACATATACAGAAACGTAGAGCTACATGTCTTCCATGGGTGGCGATTCATGACAGATTCCCAGAATCTATGTTGATTTCTCTAATTTAACAAGGCTAGTTGCACAGAAATACTATGATAAGATACATACCAACACCACGCACATGCACACACAAAACAATTAATAAAAGAGGGGAGCAGTCTGCCTACGAGGAAGAATGCTAACTTCTAAAAATAAAAATGTATTTTTAAAAATGTTTCTTGACTCATTCAGCCTTTTGCTATACTTGATTTCACTTTGGCAAACATGCCAACAGCAAATTTACACCTAAATCTAGCTACAGTGAATAGAGAACTCACATTTTGAAAGTTCCCGTGTAGTTCACCATACTGAAGTTTCTTATTTCAGAATATGGCACTTCGCTGTGATTCCTTCTAAGATTTAACTACAGTTTTGCAATAGTGACAGCACAACGTATTAAATAGAAAGATGCCTGATGAATTACAAAGTGTCTGAGCTTGGAAAGCTTTGCTCAATCCTTACTAAATGTGAACATCTAATGCTTTATCTCCATAGTAAGTAAAAACTAAACATACCTTGTATTTTTCTATTACACTAACTGTACTCTGAAGAATTTCACTGTTAAAATCGAGGTAGTTGACCGCACAGTATTATAAACAGACCACTTTTACCGACTGACCGTAAAAATTATAGAGAACCCTATTTACCAAAGTCAGAAGCATTAAGTGTGTACAAAACTTGAAATTACTTTCCCACAGCTTGATATAGAGTCTAAAAATTAGAGACAAGCGCAGGTAAGACCACTTAACATGGCATTGTTGGTGGATGTGCTTTTTTTTTTCTCTAGGAATAAGCAAACACAAAGAAAGAGAACTTTGAATAATGTGACATTTGGTTTGTTTTTGATTACCTACGGTAATAAAAAAAAAGCAATTCAGGGAAAACATACCCATGCATGGAACACGTAACTCGCTTTCACTCCATCATTTCATACATACTCATAAGATTACAAACTACTTGAATTTCCACATTCTTACCAATTTTTAATTCATTAGTCAGACTTTCCTTTGTAAGATGCAGGAGTTCTTTGCCATCAATGTTATTCCGTTTGAAAAGCCCAACAAGGTCTGTTAAGCCCTGTGCACAAAGCCAGGCTGAAACATCATCCTCTGACCAGTTCTGAACAGCCACCTCAGATTCCTTTTCTACAGTATTTCCTTTGTAAAGGAAAGATAAAAGACAGTAAACAAAACACAACAACAATTAAAAAAAACAGTGCTAGGAACTACAGCAGTAATGAACATTTTCCAAGTGCTCTCACTACTGAACATTCTCCAGCATTTGATAGAAGAGATGCTCAATTGACATTCTTTCAATGGGGGACAATCACTTGGGTTTATCTTCTATGACTGACTTTCAAAGTTTAGAGGAGTGTGAACTCACATGTGCTATACATTTCTGTGGAAGTTGAACTAAAAACATTGAAAAGCATCAGCAAACACAGAAACCAAGTCTCATACCTCCTTATAGAAGCAGACCAAACCCCAGATAATTGTGTATTGAACAGAGATCTACGTATCTTTGCCCCGCATACTTCAGGTGCTCATCTATTTTGTAACATTAGTTAGTTATTGTGTTTTTTTCATCTGTAACAACTGGCAAGCTGTACCTGTTGACAAGTATGCTTGCAATTAGCATATTTCCTCTTTAACTCACTGTCAATTATACTTGCCCAAAAAGTCTTTCAGTCTCTGTGAATAACACCCTTGTCTTAAATACTGTCATTTGAGAGAGTAAGAAATAGATAGTATCAGAAAAGATGAATATATTTCTAACAGATGAGAGGGAGAGAGAGAATATACCTTGTATATTAATAAGATCAATTCAGAGAAAAAATAGTGTGCCACATACTTCTGAGGTTACACACTAACTGCATGTAAGTAAAAGTGGGATCTTTGCATCTTCAGGAGATGTTCAACAATACTCTTCTTTAAGTCTAAAGAACAAATTAAAGATACACCAAATCTAACAAATTAAAGATACTCCAAATACTAACCTGCACAGGGTTGCTTACTGTCAAATTGCCATATGTTCACAGTTTTATCCATTGAACCTGTGGCAAGTAAGGCAGTACATGGTGCAAAAACACAAGTTGTAACATATCTACAAATAAAAAACAAATGTGTGAAAATTAACATAAAAGGATTTAATTTATTAATAGTAAAACAGAATAATCATACTGAATTCATACCTGGTATGCTGAGACAAAGTATGAAGTATATTTCCAGTATTCTGCAAAAAAAAAGAGTATCTGTGATTTTAAATCTTGAAGATCAAAAAAAAAAATCACTCATTTGTATATCTACTTTCAAATATTCCCACAAGAAATATTATTCTTGTAATATGACACAAGTTACCTTCAGAGAAATTATACAACCTTGCCAAAGCTGACTGGCAGCAAAGTCAGGTAAGTAACTTAACTTTCCTGACTGAAGTCCCCTGTTAAATTCACTGGATAAAGGCCACCCTTCAAAAACCCTAATTGAAAAATTATATCAATAGAACAGAAATTGCAGAGCAGGATGATGAAGCTTAAAGTTTGTTCATCCTTCATTCTCAGCAAAATTATTATTTTCAATATAATAAAGTACTAAATATAAATACCACTTACAGGTGAACTTCAAAGGATGTAATAACAGCATTACACAAAATACCTGAAGAGTACATTTTTAAGAAAGGACATTAGTATTTAATGTATTTTTTCTTGAATTCCTTATCATGCTTCTGTTTTATGTGGGCTTTATATATAAATAATTAAAGGATTATAGTGATCACTATTCCTGATTTTAGGTCAAAAGGTATCATCATTCTTGGTTTGGATGAAATTTGAGATTAATGAACCCCCTTCTGCCTCAACATGAAGAACAAAAAAGCATGGAGTCCACTGAATAATATTGTCACTGTAGAGAAATAAAATAATAAAACCCTCAAAGAGATATAAATAAATAATGAGAGAGATTGATCAATTCTCAAGATCTTCAAACTTACTTTTCTCAAAAACAAGCAAAAAAAAAAACCCAACATAACAGAGTAAATATTTTGGGTTTATATAATTCCTATTCTTTAATATTCTTTATCTTGGTAAGTCATTGGAGAAACAGCACTGATATTTCATCAACACACCAAAGAATGATCTTGCACTATGCTATACTTACAGTTTCATATATTATGACACACTTGTCCACAGACCTTCAAAAAAAAACCAAACACATCGACATTACAGTGGTGCAGAGTCATAAAGAAACGAACTGCCTAATTAAGAAGGAAAAAAACAAAGTAAAAAACCTTTTCCACAAGTAAAATAAGAACAGAGCTCTTAACAGAAGTTTACGGAAAGCTAAGCTACTTAAACCCTTTTCACCCATGTCCAGCTTAAGACAATGACACTGGTTAGCTACACCTATAGCATGATATAAAAATTAATACATACAACATAAAATTTCGCACTTCCATAAGAATTTCTGCTGCAGAGGGCTTGTACAAGGTTTATGTGAACTGGCCAACAATACTGGCTCTACAAACAAAATTATGTTTGTATGTAAGGTACAAATAGGCCTTTGCAAGAAGTATCTGTAATGCAGACATTCCTCTGCATCATGCACAGAATCTGGCTAACCATTACATACTCTCAGCACTTCTATTTAATTCTGAAACCTTTTCATTTCCAAATCAAACTAGAGGAAATACTGCAGTGTGATCCGTAAAATATAGTTACACAATGCAATCAATCATAAAATATTTAATGTAATACAAATTGCATAGCTATTTGCCATGACAGCAGTATTTACTTAAAGGCTGAATGGGATAGATATTTCAGTTATGACAATGTAATCTAGATGTAAAACAATAATCCACATATCTAATGGAAAATAAAATAACTTAAGGCCATAAACATTCAGAATGATCTTCAAATACTGAAAAAGACTATATTCTTTTTACGGCAGCAAAATGTCAAAGAAAGCTATTGTTTTCTGTGTTTTGCATAGTTTTCCGTTTATTTGCTGTTGTGGTCCTTTCTTTTTCCTTCACGAGACATCAGCTTCCATGTTTCAGTTTAAAATATCTTCATAAAATAAAGATGATTAAAATCTAGAGAAGAATCCTTTGATTTGTTAGATTAAGTTGCCAGTGGGACAGTTTAGAAGTGATCAAGCACTTTTCTTCATAGAGTGCAGAATAAAAGCATGTGGTCATTCATATTCTTAGAACCATAAATGATGATATCTACCTCATTTAAAATTCCTTCTTTCAACAGCTTGATCCCTGAGGAAAACCACTAGCAACCAGCTGCCAGTTTCACTTTGCACTGCTCATCATCACAACTGTTTCAGCCTGACAGTCCAGTAACTTTTCCGTTCATCCTACCATCCGCTTACCTGACCTACACTTCCACAGTCTGGATGTAAGACTTTGATGGGAGACCACGCCGAAGGGCTTGATAAAGCCAAGGCGTACAGCACAGCTGCTCTCTCCTTGGCCATGCAGCCAGTCACCTCATCGCAGACGGTGGTCAGATCAGTCAGGATCAGTTTCCCCTCGATCAGCTCCCGCTGCTTTTCCCAAGCATTTACACCTAGAAGCAGCTTCCAAGCCACTGCCAGGATTTGCTCCACAACCTCCCCGAAGACTGGAGTTAGGCTGACTGGCTTGTAGCTCTCTGGGTCCTCTGCCTCGTCCTCCTTAGAGGTGAGCATGACATTTTAATTTTTTAACTCATCAGGAATTTTCCCCTCACCTCCACCACCCTGGATCTTTCAAACACAATAGCAACTGACCATGCAATGAGATTGGCAACTCCCTTATCACCCTCTAACAAAGACTAATAATCATATTAGTCTATAGCTGATGATTCATGATTAATCTGGGTCCTAACCATTATTCTGTACAGGGCTGGCAGCAAAAAAACAGGTCTACAAATATCTTGATCATGCACTTTTTAGGGAAAAAGGCCTATGCTGCCATACTATGAATATGGATCGATTAATACCTTTTTAACAATGGCTAATTTCAATCAAATCTGTCAAAGACAAGAATTTCAAGGTATTTAAGTTTCCAAAAATTTCCCAGAAAATTTGAGTGAAAAGGAAAAGAAAAACCATAAATGGTGTCCCAAAGACATGGTAAGGTTGCAATGTAAATTCATATTTTTTAATAGATGTTAGAGTATCCACACACAAGAAAAGCCACGTAAACACAGAAAAAATGAATTTCATTATAATACTCAGAGAACAGAGCTTACAACATCTTATATTTCAAACTCAATCACCCACAAGATGCAAACCAATTGGAAAGACACCTCATTAGTTCTGGAGGTCAAAGAACGATGCCATAAGTACTGGAAATATATTTTGGAATCTGCAGCACTTTAGAACTTTGTTTTACAATATTTAAGTGTTGACTGGACAGCCACCTACATGAAATTTCAACAAGTACAAGATACTGCTTACCCTGAAACTAGCATCTGTCCATCATAAGAAAACGCACAAGCCAGAACTGGGGCAGAATGTCCACTCAATGTACATTTGTATCTTAATTCAACACCTGAAAATACAAGAAGTAAATTATTACATATGGACATATCTGACAAGGCATTAAAACAACATACTTTTAGGAGTGTAAAGTTGCCTCAAAAGATCTGACTCTGACATACTGCCTACAGAGAAGGGGATAAAGAATCACACAGAGAATTTAAGTTTATCCTCTCTGACCTCTTCACTCTGTAGTTTTACAATGTCTAACAGTATTTTAGATAATTGTGTATCTGTACATACAACATTCATCCTTACTGACTTCTATATAAAAGATATGACAAGAAATTCCCACTGGAGATGGTTTTGCCCATATGCTTGGTCTCTATGTAAGTCATACATTTGCATTGCAGTTTCAGAAGAGCCAACACCATTTTCATTCCTTCAGTTCTTGCTCAAAACACCAAGATGTACTGAAAAATGAAATGAAACCTTTCTGTGGCCTGGCAGATTAAGAGGTTTCAAACTACCAACCTGCCTGGTGGTCACAGTAGAAATTATACTCGTTACCAAAGGTGACAATACCAACTAAAACCAAACATTTATCAAGATGTTAAGGTTGAGAGGATTGGAGGTTTTTGTTTGTTTTGTTTGTTGTTTTTTTTTACAATTACAATTAATTAATTGTAATTAATTAATTGTAATTGTAATTAAAAAATTACAATTTTTTTTACATTTACCTTTACAATTATTGCTAGATTACTAAATAAAAAGCTATAGGGCCCAATCTCACAAACCACAGCATTCATTAGCTGTTTTCCAGCAAAACAAATCAAAAGAATACTTTCAATGTGTGGTTAGTTTGGCTGTGAATCCATGGTAGCAGTATAAATTTGATCTTACATGCAAATTGTCACTAAAGAGTTAAGACATTTAATTATGGAAAAAAAAAAAAAAAAAAAAAGCCCAATACAAACCTAAGGAGTCTGCAAACAAAATAAGCCAGATTTTGACCTTATTATCTTGACCACAAGAAGCCATCTGGAAGTATCTGGATCCATGTTCACCATCTGATAAAATTCAAATATGTTAATGGGAATCAGAAGCAACAAAAACTGAAGTGTATCAGTAAATTATACCAGCATTCATACACGATTTGGTAGATCTCCGTAATCTCAGTACTACTTTAAGAAGTGTTGACAAAAATAAACGCAGACGTTCTAAAAACATTTGCAAGTAAGAAACAGGTATCACTGCTACACTGTTTCCTGAACAGGTAGATAAAACCCAGAACTGCACTACTGTCTTCCTGTATCACATGTTCTGGATGGTGTGTGTGTTTGGTTCCTCTGTCTGCTGAGTGTTTCATTTTTTATAAACTGTTTTATGACTGCAATCTAGCTAACCACTCTTGAGAAATGCTTGCATTAGTTTGATGATGAGATGAAATACAACAGTACCAATAGTTTCATAGCTTTCCCCTCTCTATTCAATGGATATGAACATTTCTGAATTATCATCAAGTTCCATTCTAAAGGTGTTGTTTTTGTCTGTTAACATTTTTTTTCTTTTATTCTTAGCCCAATTCTTTCTGCTTTTCTACTCCAGTGAGCTGGCACACCAGGCTGACACAAATCACCACAACATTCCTTCAATGGTGTTACCTCTGCCAGTAGCAGTCTTAAAACTCCTACAAGAATTGCCAAGTTTAACACTGAAAATCAGAAAACTCTATCAGACGCTAACATAATAACGTAAGTATAAGTACCTTAAATAAGTGCTCATCTTTCCAGCTTTGTAGTTACTGCAAATGTCAGAATTGTTACAGTCAAGCATCTAACAAAATTACCCCTGAGATTTCATCTCTGTTTTCCACCACATAAAGTGTAGTTTCAGTTTCATCTGGTTATCAGAAGAAAATTCTCTTATACATACTTGCAGTTCACAGGAATGATCAGAGCTACTTCAGCTGTGGCAAATCTTAGGGCTGGCTTCAAATCTGTCAAATATCAAAATGCCTCATTTTTGCTAGGATTTTACAGTGCAAGAGCTTGTTCATACTGAGATGCGTAGCATGCCTTAGCTATCATACTGTAAAAGCACATTTCTTGGTAAAATGGACACAATGAGAATTCTGTCACAATGCACGGAGTTGGCCACATTTTACACGTTGCCAAGTTGTTAGTAGGGTATTACAGTGCTGTACATGTAGAGTTCTTTGAATAACTTAAGAGGAATAAACAGTCTTCCACTAAGGTACACTAAAAAATTTTAGCAAGATTTTTTTTTTTTTTTTTTTCAATCATTAGGCAATTTCATTGAAGTTTGCTCATTCAGGAGGAGGGCAGCACTGACGCTCTGGATACAGACACTCTGGGCTCCAATTTTGCTCCAAATTAAGCATGTAAAGAGAGTCTCAATCTGAAGTCACATTTTATTGTGCTGGATAAGCACTACTTGTATTGTATAATGCATTAAATCTGCCAGTAGTCCCAGAAGTTTCACTCCTTGATGATTAAACAATACAAAAAAAAATTGTTTTTCAACAACATATGGTTTAAATTAAACTAAAAATGATTATGCTTTCTTCTCTATTTCTCTCTATCTTGGTGCATATAGGCTGAAGCACGAAGGGCCAGTGACGTATTTTTTTAAGCCCCCAAAATAATTTCATCAGGAAATGAAGCACTGGAAATTATACTATAACAGTCCCCACTAAACCATATCCCTAAGCTCTACATCTAAACGTCTTTTAAAGATCTCCAGGGATGGTGACTCCACCACTTCCCTGGGCAGCCCTGTTCCAGTGCCTAACAACCCTTTCGGTAAAGAAGTTCTTCCTAACATCTAACCTAAAACTCCCCTGGCGTAACTTTAGCCCATTCCCCCTCGTCCTGTCACCAGGCACGTGGGAGAACAGGCCAACCCCCACCTCGCTACAGCCTCCTTTAAGGTATCTGTAGAGAGCAATAAGGTCGCCCCTGAGCCTCCTCTTCTCCAGGCTGAACAAGCCCAGCTCCCTCAGCCGCTCCTCGTAGGACTTGTTCTCCAGGCCCCTCACCAGCTTCGTCGCCCTTCTCTGGACCTGCTCAAGCACCTCCATGTCCTTCTTGTAGCGAGGGGCCCAAAACTGAACACAGTACTTGAGGTGCGGCCTCACCAGAGCCGAGTACAGTGGGAAAAGTAAGTCAAGACAAGTCAAGATAAGTCAGACAGTGAGATTTCTGTGCAATTTCCCTACCTCCTATAAAAGCAGTTGACTATGAGATCTCTTAACTCTGTATGAAAAACTTTTTCCAGATAAAAATTATACAAATTAACCTTTCAGCTTTCCATACACTTGTAAATTTCAGAATTTCCAAAAATTTCCAAGTTGCCAATATTTGATTGCTTGATTATGACGCTTCCCTGTACTGCAATTAATTCTACAGGATGTTTCAAATAGAGGTTCTTCTTGTTTGTACAAATATTTCTTCCCACTATACTAGCTAGGGACAGAGACATGCAACTCTTCAGGATTCCCACACAATCATGCAGTAAGCTGGGGTCTCTACGCAATTTTAAAAGCCTGTGTCCACAAATGCAAACTTTCCCTGAGGTAGCCGTTAGTTTAAAGTGAAATTTTAGTATCTATATTTTCATATATAAAGTGGCCTAAGTTTTAATTATTTCAGTCCCACAGAAAGCCCTACAGATGTGACATAAATGAAAAATGAACAGATTATGCACTGCAGCCCTGACAAAGACCTGCACTACCCGTGCTTTATGTTTTTCATCTCAATACCCAAGTACATACTAGAATATCAGATTTTATTCTCAAAAGATAAAACTAAGTTCTTGCCCATCACAGTGGTGGAGAAGCACGTAAAGAAAAAAAATGAAATGCAGCTGATAAAACAAGGTCAGCTAAAACAGCTGTAAGACACCTGAACAGTACTGCATCTTAGTGGTGCACATAAGATCCCAGGCTCACTTCTCCCCCAGACTCCTCCTAGTCAAGTGAAGGAAAACAATCTATTCACACACCACAGCTCTTGCATTCGGCTTACTACTTTTACAGTTCTTTGCATTGCTTTAACCTTCGGGGGGGGGGAGGGAAGGCAGAGGGGCATGCTACAAACAAGTGGTAATTGTTATCAGGCACTCCATCTTCGAACACCTTTGTCAGCCCTGATTGCTAGGCTTCTCTTACAGATGTTGCCTGAACATTTTACAAAACTCTGATAGCATAATTAGCTAGTGAAAGCTAACATAAGCAAGCTAATCACTTTGTTGACCTAGTATATTCCTTGTCATCAGCCTCACAACTACTTTTACTTAAGAGTACTTGGAATATTGTGAAACATCAGCTCCTCCCAATGTCATCTGTTATCTCAAGCACTAATAAAAATAAGAACTAGAGAGAAATAGAATCACTCTTTCTTTCCCATGTTCCTCCCCTGAAGAGTCAAGTGACTAACCAGAAATTGGCTGTGAAGAAATATCACAGCAGGTAACACCAAGATCATGTGCTTTTTCATTATATAGGCATCTCATTGTATCATCCCAAATGGTTATATCACCCCATGATGATCCAGTGACAAAGCAATTTCCATTCGGAGAAAACGCACAGGCCACCAAAGAACCATCTTTAACACTCCCAGATCTGAAAAGCAAGAGTATATGGTATTTGAGTTTAGAAGAAGTAACGCTCTGAAGAACTGATCTCTAAAATGTGATCTGATGCAATACACCAAACTGTTCTAAGCCCTGCATTTTGGAACTTGGTAACAGAGGGCAGAGAAACTATCTCCAGCTGTGCAATGAGATGCACAATAAGGAGAGCTGAAGGAATCAGGGCCTGCTCTTTGACTACAGAAGGAAAAACATGAGATGACACTCCAAGGTAATATCATTTTAGTTGAGCGATAAAATAAGCTTCAAACTAAAGACAATTATAATGGACTCACCACTTGATAGGCAAAATACACTATTAAAAATCTACGGCAGAATAAATTTTCAAAGTCGATGATAAATATACAACGGTCATAATATGGACTCACATCTGTGAAAACAGGGGGGAAACAACTCCCACAATTCCTCTGTTGTTTTTAAAGCCAAAACAGAAAACCTACTAACATTTATGATAAGCTGTAGCTGAGTAGAATACTTTGTGATTTATGATATAGGGTTAATTCAAATCACTCATAGACAAGAGAAGGTAAATTTAAAAATTATGATTTCCGTACTTTAACTAAGTCAGCCAAAGTACTTTGTAAAAATTGATCATATATTAAAATTCCTAGCAGATACGCAAATGTCTCAGGAAGGAAGCAGGGTCAATCTAACATCCTCTGGGTTATCGGACAGTAATGTCAAGCCAACTGCAAGTGTCCCACTCCTTTTAACAGATACTAGATCAGGCGAGTGTGCATAACAATCTTTAAGCCTAGGAAAAAAGTCACAGACATAAGCAACAGCCATACAGTAAGAAATCTCAGTCCTATTTACTCTGTCATGGTATTTTGTAGAATACCTACACATTCTCTTTTGCTGATAGAAATTTTATTTACTGCCAGAGGCGTCAAACTTAATGCTACAGAAGACAAGTCCATAAATTTGCCTGAGGTTCTCTCTAACCAGACCTAGGACAACCAAAAAATTATTGACTCCCTTAATTCGATCATTAAGCATACTAGCAAATACACTACTCTGCTTGCCCTTTTCATATATACAATTCTGTTTCCTCAGCCCAGATTTTAAAACTTTCATTCTTCCACACAGAAAAAGCTACAGATGCCGCTCTGAAAACTTAATAGCAAGATAAAGAGCACTATACAAATGTGTATGCTTTTATGACTTTCAGGTCAGATATTGGTATTCTTGCTACTGAACAGGAAATGGCAAACACTTTAAGAAACATACATAAACTAATTTGCTTTGAGTTTGTTCACACCCTTCATAAAGATGCTTTAACTTGCCATTTTCTTCACAATTTGGAGAGTCAATTACAACTGTCCAGCTAATAAGGACTAACTGGTTATCTTGTAATTATCATCCATATATTTAGTAAAATGACAGCATAGTATGGTAAAAGGCTCTCATTTAGCATCAACACACTCAAATGTTGCAAAAGAAGCAGAGGACCACAGAGTGACATCTGATGGGTAACTAAAACCCTTGATGTAATTTTTAAGCACACTGATAATTTCTAAGTAATATTGATCTCAGCTTTAAGAGAAAAAGCATGGCAGGTGTACCTGCAATTACAAATGTGAATAATCATTCACGGAATTTATCAGCTGAATATATATGTATGTATGTATGTATATATATATACACACACACACACACACATCCCCAAAATATATACAACTAAGACTAAGCTGACCACTGTTGGCATGTTAGCACTTTGAAATAAACTTTGAAAAGTAAAAGTGAGGTGAACAGGAAAGCAATGTTCACGTTCTTTTTTGTTCTCTTACAATGTAAATATTGAATCAGAATAATTTAAGCTCAAAACAACAATATGGTTTCTACATTGTTACTAAACATCAACATAATAATATAACAACAATAAAATAATAATAACATAATTAATTCAAGCTTCTTGAGTTTGCATTGTTCAACTTAAAAAAAAAAACAACAACACAAACAAAACTTAGCACTTCTCCTATTTATGTTCTTTTGGTCTTCAACATCCTATTCCCTTTTCTTTGTCACATAAATCAGAGGTGTAAAGTCTGCCAGTCTGTGCACGTTACAGCATACTACTAAAAGAATAGCACTTATAATATATTATATTTCTGTCATTGAAAAAAAGGTTGTGAAAAGATATTTGGCACTGACCTGTACAGTTTCAATGACTGCACATTCCAAAGAACTACACTCCCGTCCGCGGCACCTGACACCAGATACGTGGATTCTGGGGAAAATCGGCAGACTCTAACTGGACTGCCACTGGGCTGCCCAAGCACTGCCAGCACCTGACCATCATGAGTGTCCCAAACCATGGTAGTACCATCCGTTGAACATGAAGCTAAAAGGTGTCCCAATGGAGAGAAGCAGCAGCAGTGGACAGCATATGTATGACCTTTCAAAGGTGAGTATGAAAGCTCAGTAAAGTCACTTAAAGAATAAATACGAACTGTTTTGTCCAAAGAACAAGTAGCCAAGAGCGATGGTGAGAAGGCACAGCAGTTGACATCATCACTGTGATCTGCTAAAGTGTGAATTAATGTTGCCATTTTATCTACTTTCAAAGAAAAAAATCTGGAAAAAAAAGTTAAAACAGTTAGTCTCTCCTATTTCATACATCATACATGCTACCTTAAACAAGATACTTTCTCCAGGAAAAAACAGATGTTTTGCAGAGACTAATTTTTCATTTAAGCATTGCTTTTGTCTTCAACTTAAAGCATAGAATATCCACAGCAACAAGATGAGAAGTTTGTGAATCAGTTAGAATTAACATATATGAACTTTTATTTAAGTCAATTTGCAATTTTGAAATAAAACGTGCAAGCTCACATAATAACTATCTAGTCTAGGGGCGCTGGCGATAGAGCTTATTCCAGAACTTTTATTTATTTTAATATGTTTGCTGTTCAAAGTTGTTAACCGCTGCATCTACACGAGACACAATGAAGTAAGCATTTTATGAATTAGGCAATGAATTTTATGATTTAGGCAATGAAGTAGCCTTTTGAGAGGCCAGTCACCAAGCAAAAAATTTATAAACCACTTGCTACAAACAGATATATCTTTCTATGTAGGATTGGGATATATATATGATCTTGTGAGCAACATCTCAAATAATTTTCTTCAGACAGGATCTTCTATGAAGCTATTCTATTTACGATTTCAGTGGCGGGCGTCCTGTCCAACAGGAGCGCATTTTAGTAAACAAATCATAACCTTTTATTTCTTATTACCTGACGCCTCATCACCTCCCCTGTTTCTTCACTGGCTGAGGACTACAGGTTCATAACCTACTCGACACTCCTCTATACCATATATGTACAATTTTTCTTTTTTTTTTCAACCCTTTAATTTCTCCTTTCTTATGTCTTGAGAACTTATGATCTTTGTTTTACTATTCTCACACTGCTCATCTTGTTTTTCTCAAGCTTCTACCTTATTTTGGAACATTGAGGCCTTCCACTGTCCACTTACCTACTTAGTGTTTCTCCTTATTATGACTACACAACGACCTTAGAATACAGAAAAGTAATTGACTACTGCAAAAACACAACTTTGTTTCTCACAATCTGAATTAAAAAATAAATAAATAAAATCCTACCAAGCTAGGACAAAACAGCTGCAAGGTGTCTTTGTATTTGTTTTCAAACAACCCTCCCTGAGTTGTAACTGGATGCATTGTGGACTATTTCTAAGCCACCCGCATTAACATACTATTTCGTGAAAGTAGCAGAAACTTGTCCAATCATACCTCTAAACCTGACTCCACTAGAGCTGTGTGTATGAAATAGACTGCTAGAGCTCTAGCTGGGCACAGGCAACGGATGTATAGTAGGACTGAAACACAAATCATCGGGAATTACATTTGGTCTTTACTTCCAAAGATTGACGTGCATTTTAAACTAACAGCTATGGGAAGCAAGCACGACCAAAGAATAAAAGCTAAACTGAGACATAGTCTGTGGACCTGACAGCTACTGATTTGCTGGGAAGGAGCCGCTGCATCTTCTCTTCGATCATATCCCCTACTCTTGCCAAATCAGGCAGTTACCTGTACTAGCACTGGCCAGCTCGCACTTTTTCTTCCCGGACAGATCTGGGTTAGGTGCCTAACCGTGAGACGCAGATTAGACGGAGTACAAGGCAATTGATTTCGTCGTTCGTGCAATCTCCAAATCTTAGAAAGCACATTTAAACCCTCGCTCAGCGCTGCTGCACCCCTGCTTCCAGAGGAACCGCTGCAGGAGGTGTTAAGCAGACTAAGCAGCGGCAAATCATCTCCTGCCCGTACGGAGAAAAGCCGCCTGCTTCCTCCCGCTAGGAGCAGCTGAGGAGCCTCCCTGCAGCACGGACAGGCCGCAGGAGGTTCCCGCAGCCGAGGGCGCGTTGCGGCCCGCTGTCCCCGCGCACAGCGCTGCGGAATCGCCTCCCCTGGCAGCCGCCACTTCCTCCGTAGCTCGCGAGCCACCCGCTGTCCCTTACAGACAAAGCTGCGACGCTTTCGGGCGCTACCGACAGCCCGCGCCGGCGCCGCTCAGAGGGAAAGCCCGCGCCTCACCTTGCGCCCTGCCGACGGCTTTCGGAGAGCGCTCGGGGGAGGCCCTCGCTCGGCGGCCCGGCCGCTGGGCCCCGCCTCGCCAGCCGCCGCCGGTCACCGCAGTGCTGCGGGACGGCGGAAACGGGCCGCACGGCCCCGCCCCGCCCCGCCCCGCCAGCCCCGCGCGAGCGCTCCCGCGGCGGGAGGGCTCGCCCCGCCCTCCCGGGAGCGCCCCCCGCCCCACCGCCTCACGGCGGGGCCACTGCGCGCGCGCAGCCCGCGCCGCCTGGCTCGCGGCGCCACAGCCCGGCCTGCCGCAGTGGCCGGGGCCGCCGCCGCGCCGCCCAACGTCTGCCCCCGCCGTCCCCGCACGGAAGCAACGTCGGCGCCGGCGTTTGGCCGCTTCTTGTTTTTTCCCCCGCCACTTGGCCGGCAACGCTTTCCCAAACGCCTTCGTTTCCCGGTGCGGCAGCGTGCATCCCCGTAAGGCTGCAGTCTCCTTCCTCATCGGCGAAGGATCGTTGCGGTGCGGCCACACAGGCGCCCCCGTTGCGGGAGCAGCGCGGTAGGGCCGGCGCGAGGCGGGCTGCACGACGAGCCCGAGGCGCTCCCCGCTGCCGCCGAGCCGTCGCCACCCTTCCCTTAGCTCCTGGCGGCTTCCGCTGGAAGAGCGGTCCGTAATTAACAGCTGGGAGACTCACTCGAAATTGTTCGCTCGGTAACAAATGGCGAATCAACAGCACGCACAGAAGTGCAGCTTCTATAACCCGTGGTTATTTCGGACAATACAGTCAACAGAAACGTGCGTGATAAAAGACAGTCGTTTTTCTAAGCGTACATGTAAAAAAAAGCTTGCGTTGTTAGATCTACCTTGAACTCAGAACTACAAAGAGTTGCGCAAAATCAAACAGCAGAGTTGTGCTGTTCTTGATTTCCATCTTTAGTGGTCAGCTCACAGGCACGCTTTGGTAGATGTAGAACATCTAGGGAAAATACGATACAGACGTGATGTTGTTCATTAATGTTAAGTCCCCTGGACCAGCAGTTCAGCATGTTCATGATGGTTCCTCAGATATCAGTGCCCATTCATAGGGTACAGCTGTTCAGTTAAACTGTCATTAGGAAATTAAAGAAGTCATATAAGAAGAATTAAGAAAAAGCAATGGATCTCTTTTTAAACATACATAGTTGTCATAAGCAAAATACAACTTTTAATTTGCACCTGCTTCTGTGCCATCCAATTTGTTTTCAAAGAGATGCTAAGAGACAAAACAGAATCCAAGGTGGCAGCCAGAAATCTCTTCACTGACCTTTCTCTATTAACGGTATTTTAAAACAAAGAGTTCAAAAGTTTGTCAAGAAATTCTCTAAATTTAGATCAGCCTACATTGTTCAGGAAGGAAGAAAAGCACACTGGACTTTTCCTCTCCAAAAACAGATGGATAGTAACATTAATAGGAGAGAAGGTTAGCAAGTAAGAAAAATTAAGCACATTTTTTTCCAGTAGTTAAAACCCTGATCTTATCTAAGAAGATATATGATGGCGTGTTTATGATTCAAGCTCACTTTTCAAATATAATTCTGTAATTTTAATTTTATTGAAATTGGAATGAAAATACTGGCTGATAGTGAGGAAAACAATACATTAGTAATGTAAAGTCAGTGAGACAAGCTTCACCTCTCTTATCATAGCTGCAAGCTCCTTAACTGTCCTAGCTGTACAGTCAAATCAGGATACAAGCTGAAAAATGCAAATATGTATGTAATGTGGCTGTAACATATGTAATGTTCTATTCTAGCTTTCCAGAAAACTGTGAGATTTACTATGGGGGATAAAACATTAACCAGTACAGAATCTAATAAAATAAAAACAATTGTTTTGCATCGAATAAATGCTTTTGCCAATAATCTAAGCATACTTACAACACTCTTACAAGCCTACTGTTATATGTTCTAAATGCAGATTACTCTTCGTATCTCTGAAACTTATCAGCAGACCTTATAATTGAAATCTTCCGAAATGTGATGAAGAGGAAAGCCATGAAGCAGTCATTGGTAGAGCTAGTGTTAGAATGCAAGGCTGCTTTAATATCCAGATGTGATTTTTTTTATTATACGTAACACCGGTTCTTCTAGCAAGACTTCAGAAAAGAAAAATAACATTCAACAAGATGTTCTGGAGAGGGCAACAGAAACCAACAAAAATTTTATTAAAAAACAGATACTCTCTCAGCAGAGGGAGAAAATATAATGGCAAAGGGATATAAGAAAAAAAAAAAGACTAAAGCTCAAACTTGGCAGGCCTAATTTAAAATATAAAAAAAATTACTTGTCAAGGGAGCTTTAGGTACTGGGGCTCCGCAGCACTCATCTACAATTCTACTTTCTTTAGTCAGAACAATGATTATGACTCATGCCCTTCTACAGACCAAAAAAACCCAAACCATATAATCATCATTGCTTTTAAGGAACATTACATGTGGTACGTATTTACATTACTGTTGTTACAGTGTGAATGCACGTGATAAGCAGGACTGGCAGAAAGAGGTCAAACTCTAGGCAGCCAACTGGTTATACCTAAAGGCCGCATCATCTTTGCTCATTCAAGTAGGTGGTAGAACTGCTACTCTGCCTGGCAATTGCTTCAAGTTACCATTAAAAGGCCAGGAGAATTAGATGCATCAAACAAACAATGTTAAATGAAAGACTCCCAAGATATTATTAAAAACATTCCTGTATACGCAGGATTTGAAATATTAAAATCGCCAAGAAAATCTGGTTTGCAAAACAGTCGTTTATTGTATCCGTGCCACACATACTAGTGTAAAATAACACTCCTAAAAAAAGGGAAAAAATGAAAAAAGAAGAGGAATGCTACCTTTCCACAACATTTCTTTTAAATAAAATTTCAAGTACTCTTACATTAGTACAAAAAAAAAAATTCTATCTGCCCCAACAGGCCACCACAACACACAGTAGATAAAACACAGTGGTTACGAATGTCTTTTTTGTTATTTATGGGGCAAGGCAAATGGAGAGGAATGTTTCTATGAAAAAATACTGTGTGCGTAGGAAATCGTCACAATTTTATTCCACATGAATACAAATGATTATACTTGAAATTGAGGCCGTGGTGGCTTGAAATTATGTAACAAAATAGAAAAATGGAAAACTAATATCCCCTACACCCTGTTTTGAAGGCAGGCACTACCAAGATTAAGGAGACTCCACAGTGTTGGTAGAGGATAATTACTGTACAAGCCATATAGCTGTAATTATCTTAAGACTAAAATAAAATGCTACTGTCCTCCTAAGGCATAAACAATAATGTCTGCAAACAATATGTACACATCATACATATTTAAAACAAGACTTAATATAAACAATAATGAACAGTATATACATGTCTCAATTTTTTCTTCACTGTCTTGAAATACAATTTAACTACACAAGTGATGCAGCAACATATATATAAATGTACTTGTAACTCTACAGTAAAGTTTAATTTTTAGTGCTTTTACAGCACATCAGTGTAAACAGTTTCACTTGGCTTTGTTTTATATCTTAAAACATTCCTTGTTGTATTTTCAAGATTTAAAGCAATTTTCTAATTCTTCCTTTTCACAGAAAACGAAGATTCTGGATGTTGTATAATCATAAATAATTCATAAAATTAAATACATTCACTAAAAAATAAACTACAAAGTAAAAAAATGAAAAATAGATATTTATTGAAAGGGAAAAAGAACCATTTCCCCAAGTAGAGCTCTGGTGGTTGAATATTCAGTGCGTTTTGATATATTTTAAATTGCTATTGCACTATAACACCCCTTTCTTTGAAATTCTTTGGGTGTGCTTCCCTGTTCTACCTAAATTAGTTTGTTAAAACATACAAACCAATAACCAAGGGGCCATGGTTGCTGTAGGAATGAAGCTTTTAGAACTCGTATCACTCTTTTGTGATATTTTTAAGGAAAGAGAACAGTCATTAGTTACGCGCACGTGCCTTGCACTTTCATGTTACTACAGTTCACATTGCTGGTCTTATCAGTCCTCATTTAAAGGAGAAAAATGAGTTCTGGTAACTTCAGCTCAATTTGAAAATCTCTGTCCATTTTTTTTCAAAATATTTCCTCATGTTGTGACCAGCCCTGCCTATGTCAGAATCGTCTTCATTAAAGGTTTCACAGTTGTCAAATACAAGCCTGACATCTAGCGAAAATGCCTCAAGATTAGGGTACCTGAAAGAAGAAAAAGGTAAATGACTTTTGGAACAGTGACAGCCAAAGGAGAAAAATACTTCAACTACATGAAAAAGCACTCAACATCAGTGAATTTATAACCAGTCACAGAATGCTAAATGAATAAATTATACCTTTAACTTTCTCTTTCACTGTTGTTTTTGTTACTGTACTAAAAAAAAAATTAAGGTAGAATTTCAATTCTATATTGGAAAACAAACTTTTTTTTTCTTTAATTAGCTGCCATTTTCCCTTTAACAGTTTTCTAGTGAAAATACTATGGGTATTTTCCACTTAATTCATCTTTCTCTTGGGTTTAAGCCCTTTCAAAGGAAGTGTTGAGTACAGCTGCATTTACCCAAAAGAGGAACCTTCAGGTGTATTGGCTGAGATTAGGCTGCCTTGATTAATCCCGTAACATTGTCTTTTTTTTTTTTCTTACCCTGAACACACACAGGTCCAAATAGCATTCCAGTATTCAGAGCAATTGTTAAAAAGAAATACAGTAGAAGTCTCAAGTCTACCAATAGGCATGTGGAATATATTACGCTCTCAGGCATAAGGAAGGAAAAATCTCGAGATTAAAAAGCCCTTTGTGTCATCCCAGGAAACTAGCTTTGCATGGTGCTGACAGATGCTGAAAAGGGTTCATTGTTTTCTTTATGGGTGACAAAGTCTTCTTTGGTGTTGGAGAGTCATAAGAGTACTGGGATGTAATAAGGAAGGAAGGAGAATGGAAATATAAAAAATGTAGGGGCAGTATCATCATCTTTGTAAGAAGTTGTGCAGTCTAATTCTAGGAATAGAAAATTATCAACTGCCATTACCGGAATGTTACCCCACAACAGTGGTACCAATTCACTCCAACACACTACAGCATTATTTAAAGGGACTCCATTAGCTTAAAGCCCACACAGCTAGAAAAGTTATTTCTGTTGACTGATTTTGTGCATTTAACGCGGCAATTCTGTTCTTTTTCTTGTGAAGTCAGTTCCACAGGTCCTTCCACCTGTCATGTTATTTCAGCTTAGATACGGCAAAGACAGACCTTAGCAGTTACGAATTTTTGAATGGAGAGAGGTGCCAGAGAAGGCACATAAAAATAGTTGACTTTTTTTTTTTAAAAATGTATCGTATTTCAAGTCAGCATAGCCTTTTAAAAGTTTTGCTGAATATTTAAACATTTTCTTAAAATGTAAAATAAAATTTTAAATACTTTTACTTACTGTCCACTAGTTAGCTTGTCTCTAATGGTGGAAAAGTCCATAGGTTTTTTAATAACTTTCTTATAACCAGGAACAAGTTTCAAGTTTACAGGAAGTAAGAAAGGCCAGGCATCTTCGTGAGTTTCCAATTCTGAGAGAATCATGCTGAATAAAATAAGGATTTAAATCAACATTTTTGAACTGCTCACATATTCACAAAGGTTGTTCACTGTTCCATAAATTCACCAC